TGACTGAATGGGCTATGTAAAATGAATTAAAACATAAATGGGTGTTAATGTAATATCTCAAACGTGAGGAAATTTTGTGAAAACTCGATAAACTTCTAAAAGTGTTATTGTAATTAACCCTAACATTGCAACATATTTATCACATCTGCTTTTTCGAATTTTCAATATAATTGAAAAACCACATCGTATATGACCAAGTATAGCATCGTCCAAAATTAAACTTTTTATCTTTTCTTCTCAATCATTTGACCAAACTTCTTGTTCTGAACAAGTGGAGCTCAAGTTTACATAGAAGAACACGTCTGCACATTTTTTAATTTGAGGGGGATTTTATTCAAGGCGAAATTCATGAAATTGGAAGGGGAAAATAATACTCCAAGGTAAGTATCATCAAATAATTTACATTTAACTAGTATATATATGTTTTATTTATTGAGATTAAATCAAATACAACAATCCTCTTTAATCATATCCAAAGTGCAAGTCAAAGAATTGCTTTGGTACGATAATAAATTAAACCACACATTTGAGTAAACAGAGAAAGCAAAACACAAGATTGTTGCCAGACAAATGGTTTTAGTTGTAGGCATCAGGATTGGCCACAAGGTAGTTCTCAATAAGCTTGAACAAACCATGGGCCTTGTCTTTGCCAGCCTTAACATGTTCTTCCTTGATCTCAACATCTCCCTTGGTGTGGTAGTGGCTGGTGTTCTTGATGATGGAACCACTGCCAGATGCCACCAACTTAATCTCATAAGAGATCTTCTCAATTTTGTCAGAAATGGCATCTCCTTCAATCAAGCTATAGCTGTAGTGAAAGTTATCTTTGTCAATTCCCTCAACCTTGTGCTTCACATAGTTGTATTCACTTCCTGTCAAATGAAAATGAAATTGAAATTAAGATGTTAGCTAGTATTTTCGATATGTGTGTGTGTGTGTGTTAAATAGGTAAAATTAACAAGTTAATGAATTAAATTGTGGAAAACAAACCAACCTTCACCAAAACTAACTTTCTTGATGGTTCCAACACCACCATCTCCCTCGAGAATTTCAACAGTTTTGACTGCTTGTGGAGCAATCTTCGGAATGAGATTGTCAGCATCAAGAACAAGGGCATTGTACAACCTAGCAGGAGGGATGACTGAGGCGTATTCAGTTTCGTATGTGAGGACACCCATGATGATTTTTAAGGGCTTGGAAAATGATCAAGGAAATTAATGAAAGAAGGAAGCTAGGAGGATGATCGATGTTGAGGTGAGAAAATGTTCTCTCCATAGGGTGGTATTTATAGATTTGGCATGGAGGGTGTATGTGTAAAGTAACCAGGCCCCTTATGTATAATTTCAAATGCATGCATAAAAATAAAAACAAAGAAAAATCAATGCATAAATGTACTAGTCAAAGAAAGCCACCCATAGAAACTTAATACAAATTGATTATATGAAAGATATTATTGAAGATGCAGCATTATCTTCGACGGAAAGGGAAAGACAACCTTACAATGTCGGTGGGCTGTTTGATGATGAGATGCTTACAAATCATAATTTGGATAAGGGCACAGCTGGCGAGGAAGACAGAGGAGAAATGTCATGATCAGTACGTATAGTATAAAGGTATATCATACAAGAACTTTGTCTCTGAAGACTAATTAGGTGTAACTTTTTTTTTAATTTCTAATGCGTATCAACAAAAAAAAAATGTAAGAACATTATTCTCTCACTTTGTTTCGAAGAACGAAAATATTTACTGATGAAAAAAATATGATACCCTCAGAAAAAGAGCACTTGTATTCTTTGATTGAATAAAGATTATTGTTCAACTAATACAGTACTAATGAGGTTATTTAATGTAAATTTTTATCACACTATCATGTTGATTGTTACACTATAAATGTTTTGTTAGAGGATAGATGTAATTAGTGGACATCGTGAAATTCTTCATTATTGTATTCATTTTTTTTTTTTGAGCTCCTTACTTTTACATTTTAATGATGTTATAATGACATTAAAATTCAACTTTTAGGCTCCTAAATACTATAACAATGATAATTTTACGTTGTGCTCGTCATTTTACACTATCAACGTATAATATTATACGTGAACATGCTTACATTACAAAATTATCGTTCAATCATAGCCAGTTGCGGAGCCAAATAGAGCTTAGAATTGGTCAGGGCTACCCTGTGGTTATCACTTTTAATACCTATTATCTGCAAATGATAAGATTGGTTTAGAAGGTAGTTGTTGAACGTGGGCGGATTTTGAGGACAATCAGCTTGTTGGATGTATCAAAACAAATTTTGTAACTAATTTCATGATCAGATTGATTAAACGGATATGACTGGAAAAATTAATTCCTACTTATTCATTCGGCCTGAATACAAAATGATCCACGTCTTTTGCATATTAAACGTACATAATCATTTATATTGTCAATAAAAAAACGTTTCTATTGAAAAATTGTTTTTTTCAAAGTTATTATTATTTAAGGGAAGCAGGAAGGGGGAAAAAGAAGAGGACAGTTTGAAACTATTAGAATAATTTTGAGAAAGGGAGTTTTGAATCTGAGACGTATGAGTGGAAAATAAGGCTAGAAAAAATTCCCAAAAATTCCAAAACGTACCCAAAAAATCCCGATCCCAAATTGAAAAAATCTAGAACCGAAAATCCCAAAAGTTTCGGTACCATATCCCCAACTAATCCCAAACCATTTGGTACGGGAATCGGTCTCACCGTTTAAAGAGTTTGGTAATCCCAAACCAAACTGAAACCTTAATGTATATAATATTCTTTTTGTTATGACAATTACTTATTGGTGCTTTTGTTTTAGTTAAAGCGGCTTAAGACTGTCTTTCAGCTTCATGCCACTAAAAAACAAACAAGCTATCTTAAAACCTATATATCTTTCAGCATCATTTTTCAGTCTGCATCCACGAGAGCCATGTGTTCTTCTCAATAAAACAAAGAATAAATTATACATCTTTCGTCCTAATAAGTAGGACATGAATGCCAATGTTTTCAAGATGGAAGGGAAAGTGATCAATACTCGGAATTTCAAAATTTCAATTCGGTTTCGGATTTTAGAATCTTGTCCTGAAAGTTATTGATTTGGGATTTGGTTTGAAATTCTGACCTAAGCCAGCCCTAGTGGAACCCAACACTCTATCTAATGTAATATTGGACAATACTATTAAAAAGTTGTTCTATATAAACACTCTTTAAAGTGATCATGCAGTTTTTGAATTAAAATTTTTCCCTTGTATAAATTTTTTAGATTCATATTGATTCCCTTTTATATCAATTTAGATTTTCCTTTTTATTTTTTTAGAGGTATTTGTTTATTTGTTCCCTAAACTTGTATAGAGGTGTCAATTCCCGCGCCCCCCCCCCACCCCCCCCCAAACTTTTATAATTAGCCAAGTTCCCCCATGAACTTTAACTTTAGCTGATTACTCCCCTAAAATATTAGCGTTAGATTTTAAATTTTTCATCCATCCAATTTTCTATTCTTTTTGCCCAAACACATTGTCAAGTGTTGTCCGCGTGATCAAAATGGATAAAAAATTGGATAGATGAAATTTTTTAAAATCTAGCTTCAGGAGGAAAATTAGCTATTTATAAAAGTTCAGGGGTAATTGGCTAAAATTAAAGTTCAAGGGGGAAATTGGCTAATTATAAAATTTCAGAAGGGTAATCGGTTAAAATTAAAGTTTAGGGGAAAAATTAGCATCTCTATACAAATTCAGGGGGCAAATCGACAAATGTGCCTATTTTTTAACTATGATCTTTTTGTGTGCTTCGGATTATGAATAAATATCTTTATTCAAAAATACAAATTCAAATTTAACGTTTAAAAAACAGAGTTTAGAAACTCCAAAATACCATAAAAAATTTGTTGTTAACATAGATCGATAAGTCTTATAAGTTGCGAGTCATTTTCATCCTCAATAAATGTTTGTTAAGTTCGTTGTGTAGTACATAAATAGATACTTTGGGTCACTATAGAGTATAAAGAGACCGCAGCGCACCAAGGCAACAAAGTCTTTAAAACAAAGAAACTTCAAAGGTATCAATATCCAATGTTGACAGCTAGTTGCCATTGCTGAAACCAAACCCAAAAGTCAGAAAAAGGGAGAACAAAATAAAAACCTCAGCTACATAGGTTTCCTGCATTGCCACCAAAGTTTAATTTTAAGAAGAAAAAGAAAAAATGTGAGAGTAATTTTTTAGATTGTAAAAGTATCACTATTTCAAAATTCTTCGGCTAATGCTACCTAAAACTTGCCTAGGCGCTAAGCAGCTGCCCACCATCCTGACTAATCTCTAAGCATTTGAAAATTAAGAAATGGCGCATAGACCACTTAGGTGCCCTCCTAGCTTGCCCATACCCGCCTAGGCATCAGCTTAGATCGGAACTCTCACTTGGACAGAAAATAGATAACTTTCATATCGCATTATTTTCTAATACTTTTATAATCTATATGTAATCATATTTTACAGTTTATATATTTAAATGTAATTATGGATTTTTTTAAGTATGAGTTGGAACTTATTTATAAGGTATATAATAAATTTACTTAAATCCACCTAGGCCTCGCCTAGTTACCTAGGTACTAGACCCCCACCTACCGTCCAACTAATGCTTAGCATCTTTAGAACTTTGAAAAATATTATGAGCAGCTGTTGTGGGTTTAATATGCTGCAACAGTTTTTGAAGTTCTTACACTCGAAATTAGAAACGAAATTTCTTCACTTTTTCGATTTTCCAAAAATGAGGTTTTAACTTTAATGACCGCCGACACCAAATGAAAACAGAAAGTTGGAAGACCACCTAGAAACCCGGCTCCTTCATAGCTCTTTAATTTGTCCAACTGCGTCGTCGACACCGAGCAAATAATTTGGTTCGAAATTAATTTTTTTGGAGATAATGTCCGATAATAACTAAATGTAGTAACAATTGCATAAACTGGTTGATGATCTACACCGACAGTTCACAGCTTCACAACACTTGTGGCCTAAAATCTCAACCTCAGTTCATCTATAAATATCACCTATACCATTCTCCTCTGCATCTCAATATCTCCTCGGTTCAAACAATTCTCTTAATCCTTTTTGCTCTTCATTTGATCATTTTTTTCAAGTCAAAAAATCACAATGGGAGTTTTCACCTATGAAACCGAGTTCACCTCGGTCATTCCCCCACCTAGACTGTTCAAGGCTTTCATCCTCGACGCCGATAACCTTATCCCGAAGCTTGCTCCACAAGCAGTGAAGGGCATTGAAATCCTTGAAGGAGACGGAGGCGTTGGAACCATTAAGAAAATTACCTTCGGCGAAGGTTAGCTGGTTGTCCCTATTTCTTTATGCTCAAGTGTCTCTCCTCCTTTTTCCTTCAGAATATCAGCAAAACCTCATGAACTCATAGCCTTGTTTTGATTTTCTTCATGAACCTTAAATTAGGTTATAAGTCATCTGATCTTGAAAGAGAAATGACTTCGTATGCGCTTTTTATCTCATGTATGTCCATTGATTCTGTTTTAATTTATTCAATACAATGGACAAAAATAAATAAAGGTGCATGATGACGAGTAAAAGTCACTTCCCTCTTTAAAAGTGTCAATTATCCCTTGCCTCACATTAATTAGGGGTCTTAAATAACGGAAAATTTCTTTTTGTGGGGGGGGGGGTATTTTTTCTGAATTTCTCCCATTTTCCAAGTATCTGATGAATAATATGATGGTACAAAATTTGTGGCAATATGACAAGCATCATTTAAACTAATTTGAATATTTATGTTTTTTAGGCAGCCAATTGGGGTTTGTAAAGCACATAATCGATGGGATTGACAAGGACAATTTTGTATACAGCTACACTTTGATTGAAGGAGATGGTTTGTTGTCTGACAAAATTGAGAAGGTAGCTTATGAGACCAAATTGGTGGCATCTCCTGATGGGGGATCCATCGTCAAAAGTACCAGCCATTACCATGCTAAGGGCGATGTTGAAATCAAGGAGGAGCAAGTTAAGGCTGGCAAGGAGATGGCTTCCGGTCTCTTCAAGCTTGTTGAAGGCTACCTCTTGGCCAACCCTGATGCCTACAACTAAATCTGAAGTTATTCATATTTGTAATATGCTTGAGTTCCCAGCTTACCAGCTGAAGGTGTGATGGGTACGCTTAAATATTTCTTCACAAGTTGTTCATGGTACTAGTAGATTGAATATCTATATGTTGTAATGTACGTATTCTATAATAATTCGATCGGTATTATCTTTAATAAAAATAAATTAATATTAAATATACTCAAGACTCGAATTAAAATTTTTTAATTATAGGTGGATAAAATGTTGAAGTGCAAATTTTCTCAGTGTGTTTTTCTTAAAATGTTAAAAGAAATATGTTAAGTTGTCATACTTCGAATTATTTTTAGAAAAAAAATAATTTTCGGTCCTTAGTTTCTAATATTTATTGATTAAGACCTTCTCAGTTTTTAGATTTTGATCAAAGTTTCTAGTATTAATATATTAATGAATTACATGTAAGTTACATAATTTTTATGGAAAAAGTTAGTAATTGATTTAGAGTTTTAATACTCACACCCTTATTAAGCTCCTAATTAATTTTCAATTCAAGCATTTCCCAAATATAAAAAAATAAAATTAGAATAAGTTTGTAGCCATTAAATTTTTATAAAAAACAAATTCAATTTTTAATCTTATATGTATCCATTCTTAAATATACTAATTTGTTAAAAATGTACCTTTTTTTAATTTGAAATGTACCCATTTTTTATATAAAATTTCATTCAATCTTTTCTCTAATCCATTTTTTAAACTTATATGGGTACATTCTATTTCGTTGATTTGAGAATGTATCCATGTCAAGTTTAATAGAAAAAATTTAATAATGTTATGAAGTCTAATATCTTTTTTTTTTTTTTGTGTTTTTGAAAATTGTACACATGCTTTGGTACGATAATTTTTTGGTTAGTTGTGATGAACATACCCATATATGTACACACACAATATATTGAAGAGTATAATTCATCTTTAATATTTTTAATCCCATAAATTTTGGGTTTTATTTAAAATCTCATTAATATAAAAAACTACAAATTTTATTTTTAATTTAAAAATACAAAAACCTACACAGAAATATACTATTACATTAATGTCAGAGACTTCGATTAAAAACTAAAAACCACCAAGGTTTCAGTCAAAGAACATTAGTAGTTAAAGACCGCATCCAAAGTGTCCCTTATAATTATCTAAATGTGAAACAATCTACATTATTCGGAGAATAAAACTAATGAAGTACATGAAATTGTACATGCCTTTCTTTTGAAAAAGAAATAAAAAAAAAGGGTATCAGTGTAAGTGTAAGTGGTGAATTACATTATCAATTCCCTGCATCTCGAGTTCAAATCATCATCCTCCTGCTCTTGTGTAACTAAAGTAATAATATTACTTGTATTACAAAAGAAAACGTACCGGCACTCTTTGTTTTAATAAAATTATTAGGGACCATGAAATTATTTAGCATTGGGATTTAATTTTGAGCCTTTTACTTTCATATTTAATGATGTTACAACATGGTTCCGAACTTATCATTCACGAGATATTCAAATTTAAGATATTTTACAAATAAAGATAGTTACCATTAGACCGTAGTACAAAATGATAACCAATCATAGAAAATCTAATGCTTTTGAAAAATACAGCTTTTTCTTATTTTCCAAACGTCATATGAAGAAAAAAAATCATGAAAACATACTCTTAGATATGTTTGGATTCAGAGGCGTACGTGCACTTACTCTTATCATTTTCACTAGAATTACTGTAGAATTGCATATACTTTCAAACGAATAAATGTATATAACTATAGCCACTTTTAACTCTTATTTATTGCGGGGTCATGGAAATAGAAGGGTGAGTGGTGGAGAAAAGGGCTTAGAGATGCGTTTTTCTTCTACCAATGCTTTTTTCTGTAGTAAGTATACTAAGTAATAGAGAGAGAAAAATTCGCTCTTCAAGTGTATAAGGTCAAATAGGAAAGTATAATCTGTATTACATAGAAATCCTACTATAATACTACCTATGTTATATAAATTACAACACTTTTTATTGAGTGTGTAAATATTCAAGTAGTAGTTGCTTCAAATCTTTAGATAGGAAGCCAAAGAAGTTGATGAAGTCATCTCGTTAGGCATTTATAGGCAACACTTGAGCTAGTCCCAAATAGGGAACTGTATATAGGAATAAATCTCACAAAACCTGACTAAAGTAGAATCTGATATGGACAAAATCCATAATGTAAGGAAAAAAGTGAGTAAATGTAATAAGTCAAAATTAACGTATCTAGAACACGAGTAAAATGCACACAAAGGTATGACCAACCTATAATTGGTCTCTTCAAAATCTCGTTAGGCAACAAAAACTCAATGGAACAAGTGGTCCCGATCGTTGGAAAAGAATACACTTTAGGTCAAACAAGTATACTACAAGATACTCCTCTTGAGTTTGCAAAACTCCCCTTGAGAACTACAAGCGTTGCAAATCAAACAGTTTACACATACTAATTTCTTAAACAAGCTTCTGAAAAGTAGACTTTGGCAATCAGGTCGGCAAGCTTGTCTTGGGAATGGATCTACTTGACTTTAATTTTCGGATGCTCTTGCTGATAATGGGAGAAGAAAAACTTCAACGCAATATGTTTGCTATTGTCTCCTTTGATGTATCCTTTCTTGATCTGGTTGATCAAAGCGATATTGTCTTCATAATCATTGTCAAGACATCAACGACCGATCGAAGTCTAAATGTGCTTCGAATATGCTCAATAAAGCTCTTAGTCAGAAACACTCATGTGTGGCCTCGTGAAGGGTGAGAATTTCAGCATGTTCAAAGAAGTCGCAACTAAGGTCTATTTGGTTGACTTACAAGATATTGCGGAGTCTGCAATTGTGAAGACATAACCCGTCTAAAAACATTTCTTGTGCATGTCAAATAAATAACCTATGTTATCATATCCAACAAAGCAAGCATAATTCTGAAGACCAAAGGGGTGATCTATTTTGAGATGTATAGGAATAGAATAAGCCCACATCCGTAATACTTTTGTGATAACGAAAGATATCATTAACGTCATTGCAATGTTGACGTGTTGATGCGTTGCTATATCTTACTAAAAGATTATCAACGAAAGATGTGTTTCAAAATGTCTCATTGAAACTGCCGGATTAAATATTATTTGTATTTAATAATACAATGAGACATTTGTATTTAATAATACAATGAGACATTTTTGTGTATTGGGCTGCAAACTGTCTTTGGGCCCTTTTTTGTTATATGATCTATTTTGTGCATACTTTGTATCTCGATTATTGTGTTTGTAAAGTTTGTTGTTGGTAATAAATGATACCATTTGACCCAAAAAAAAAAATGATAATTGATTTATTTGTAAGGAATAAAAGATGTTTGATATACTTTAATTGATTCCAACAGCTGCTAGGAAACTTATTATATAAGTAGACTAGCTAGTACTTTGTTTGGGGTTTTTATTGTGGGTATTTCTTTGTAAGATATTTTTGTTAATTTTTGTCTATTGATATCTTTCAATTCATTTAATTTAACGATCGAAAATAAAAAAAAATATGTTAAAAATAAAAATATATTATATGTTGATAGTACCATCCTTTTTATTTTTTTAACATAAAGACGTAAAATAAAATAATCAGCATAAATTTTATCATGTTCTATGACGACATTCCTCCAGCTTTCGGCAGAATTATTGAGCAAACTTTTTTACTGGTTTTATTATAATGTAAAGTTAATTGGTCACATTCATGAGATACTACATGCCCAGCTGTAGGTTTGAAGCATGTTTTTGCTGTCCGTATGTGGTATTTGGTAATGTAAACTGCTCCATTAATCCGGATGAGAATCCTCTTCGGATCCTCTTTACAGTGATCCTAAAGATCTTTACATCTTAATCGTTTATTGTATACCGTGCGATCAGTTTTCGTTAGTTACTATTTATGTTTAATTTTAAATAATAAAATTCAAATAATTTCAAACTGTACAATATACGATAAATGGCTAAGATGTGATAATCACTAAGATCCCCACAATTTGAACCCGGTTGAGATCCAAATCCCATTAATCCTACCAATTAGTTCATGTATGAATAAAGCATTGAATTTTGGTTTCTCAGCATTATTTTATTAATCTCAATTTTCATAAATTAGCCTATAACTTGTTAGCAACAAGCCTAAACGCCCAAAATAGGAAAACTACAACAAAATACCACTAATTCTAAAAGATCTTACCAGCATCTGTCACTAAGAGATGTCGACCAAAGGCATGATCGCTTGATCGAAACAAATTGAATTTAGTGATCACGATAAACTAATGTTAACTAGTTTATCAGCCACAAAATTTATCTCACGGTAAATAAATATGACAGAGTTTACAAATCAAAACCTTGGATTATTTTGTTACAATGTAGAAATCCGTACCCAAGTATAATAAGGTACAATTAGTTATTCAACGTTTGTAACGAATTTATTTAATTCCAAGTAAATTAATTAGGAGTTTACTCCAGTGCAAGATCTAGACTTTACTTTATACTAAGAAGTTGTTGAGAAACAACCGGAAATTAATGAGAGAAATTGATAGGCAACGCAACGTTGAATGCCAGTTGCCATTGTTGAAGCAAAAAGTCAAGTCTTCAACACCCCTTCCTCATCATTTCCCAAAAATTAAACAAGAGAAACAATAACTTACCAAGATGATAATTAACCAAGCCAAACTAAAAACGTTTAAACATTTATAATTATTGGTCAATTTTCTCATAATTTGTGAATGTGTGCTCTTTTATCCTTTGGTTGCCCTTTTCCCTTGAACTATATGATTTAAAAAGCTCCAAAACATGTTACTTTCAAAAAGCATCGATCGTCTCTATCTTACATTCCTACCTTTTACCGTCTAATTCAAGTGAGATCTGCAGACTTTCACTAGAATCTGAAAAGCAGCCTTGAAACCCTATGTGCATTCACATCCAGTACTGGGGATGATCATCAAAGGGAATAATTGAAACCATACATCTAGAAAGCCTTTATTTTCTTGGCTACAAAATCACCGGCCGTCTAAACCCAGTTGGACTTTTTTATTAATCTATTCAAATGTGCTTTATTTGACCAAAACATGGATTTTAATTAAAAATAACGCTATCTACACACTTATTTTTAATTCTCACACATTTCTCATAATTTTGTTTGTCGAGTCAGATTAATTGAAGAAGAC